GCCCACCGCCCAGCCCGCCCAGCTCCCGCCGCCGCCAGCCAAGCGTGGCCGGTCTGATACGGGTATTATTTCGGGGATGCTTGGTACCGCCGGGTACCGCACCCACGGGTACCCTACGCCTGAATGATGACGGGGTGATAACGAGTCTAATAATTGTTCCTCCAGCCGAGTGCGTCCCGGCCCGCTCGGCTCGCGCTCGGCTCGCGCTCGGCTCCCGCTCGCCCAGCCCCGGGCCCAGGTGGGCGGAGGTCCCCGCTGCCGCCAGTGTCAGGTGGACGCGGGGGTAATTAATAGCGGCCATACATTGCGGCACAGCAGGCGTCAAGCGGATCAAGCGGCTCATTTGCAGGGAGGGACCTGCACTGCGTGGGACACAAGCGCGCGAGTGCCTGCGGTGTATAAAATTTCGGTGTGGCAAAAAAACGCGTGTTTTGTGCCTTGTTCTATAAATCTCATATCACCTGCTGGCCCCACTCTGGCATAGGTAATCCACACACACACACACACATTATTACACAAACTAGTTCTTCGCAAGCCTGCAAAGAGAACAAATAGTGTGAAGGATACTGATATACTGACATCTTGCAAACATAACATACACTCAAAATTATAATTGTGAAACATATTGCAAAATTAGGAAGACATTTTCAGCAGTGTTCCATTTTCGTTTCGTGTGGACCAAACGCATCGCGGCGCGGCCACACATGTGCCATGGGTGCACATTCTAGTGAAGTGAAGGCACACAACGACCAGGGGAGGGTCGGAAAGAGGAGCATCGAAGGGGAGGGGTGCGCAGCAATGCCTGCCGCCGCAGGCGCAGGCCAGAGAGCGTGCTGCTTCTGTTGCCGCTGCTGCTGCTTTGATGCATTTTGTTGCATTTATATATTTTTTTATTCAAACAAAATAATAAAAATAACAACCAACTGCAGCGTGATAACGTCACAGAGCAGGCAAGGCCGCAGGCGACACAAAAGAAAAAGGAAGAAAATAATGAATCGTACCATGAGTGTCGCATCGGCCAGTTATGGGACCGAACTAGAACCCAAGCGCGATTCTGAGAACAGCTCACAATTTCACCGAAAAGCACATACTTCACTGAGAGCAGTACTCGCACTGGGTCGCAAACTCGTCGCTAGCGGCGAGGCGCGCACCGGCTACTGTTGATCGTACGCGTTTGCAAAGACCGTAGATTTATAATGACACAATATGAAAGTAGTAAGCAAGTAAAGTCCAGCATCACTCAACGAATCGCCCCACTCGGCTAGGTGGGATAGAAAATCAAGGAGTGGCTCGCGAGCTACGAGTTTGCGACCCCGCCCTGCACTATTTGCCAAGAAAAGCGAGATATTAATTTTTGTTAAAGAACAACTTTTATTCTCTCACACTAAATTAATTAATGGCGTGTTCCATGCCTCCCTTGTTTCTTTGTTGTTGTTTTTTTCACTACCATAAAGGGTTTGGTGCCGCGGCCGCCACGCGGCGCTATACGCGCGCTCGGATAAGCCCGACAGCACCCGACAGCCCGCCCGGGTCTCTTTACGGCCTCCGCAGCAGCCGGACTCGCGCGCGCAGGCCACAGGCCACAGGCCCGGGGCCCGGGCCCGGCCGTTACAGACATTGGCGAACTGGGCCACGAGCGCTGCCGAGCGGAGCCAGCTCTGATCAACTGCACTGCACACGGCACCTGCTGGCTGCGGTCGCCCGCCCCGGAGCCCGGAGCTTTAGGGCTCGCTAGCCGCACCGACCATTCGACGCAATCCACCCTTACTTCTCCCTGCAGCACGCGATGCACCAGGCTCGCCGAGGAGTCTTTGCAACAGGCAACGGAGCATGTCGCGACCACCTCCCTCCCCCCTCCTCACACCATGGAACCCAGCAAAGAATCCGCAAAGAATATGCCATAAGTGGGAAAAACACGGTGGATAATCTCGTTTATTCGCTCGGCTTCGCTTCCCCTTAGCGCGCCGGGCCGATTCCAAAGGGCGATACGGCTGCGTAGTGCGTCTCGTCTCGTCTCGCCTCGGGTGGGAGGGGGTGACGCCTCTTGGCTCGGGCCGCCCGTCCCCTCCCCGTCGGCAACCTGATCAGGAGACGTGGGACGTGGGGCTCCAGCGCGCTCCTCCGAGCTCCTTCCGCTCTCAATATCACGGGTAGTGGCCGGGCGCGGCGCAGTCGGGAGGAAAACAAGAGACAGGGACAATGACCTCCCCTCAGATCACTGCCCAGCCACCCGCCACAACGCGTAACAAGTATTTGTGGCTGCCTACAACAATTTCTTTTGTATTACCATTTTTTGTTTGTTTGCCGGGACGTCTTTTTTTTGTGTATTCAAAACCCCAACCCCATCGCCCGTCTCGCCTGTTTGTTGCAGCTGCTGGTTGCTGTGCAGGGCGACCCGGGTGACCTCCGCCGCCACTCGCCGCCGACATGGAGTCGTACAACTGCTCCACCAACATCACCTACACCGCCGAGTGGCCCGACGGCCCGCTGGAGGCCGACGAGCACTTCCTGCGCGGCACCCGCTTCCTCATCCAGGTCTGTCATCACACTGGAAATCCAGGCGTTACGAATGTCGCTCACCTGCAGGCAGGGGCAGGTGTGAGACAGAATATTCACAAACTCGTTGCATGAAAAGAAAGTCATTTACCCCGTTCCCAAGGATGTTATGCATTGATCATGACCATGGTCATGGTCATTACCATTCACAACATTCAAGTGGTGTAAAAATTCTATCGCACACCTGGATTTCCAGAGAACACAATGTACCTGAATGGAAGAGAGTTTGTGCAACTGACTTGTGGGTCGCAGCGCGTGCTGGTGCCCGTGGTGGTCGTGGTCGGGCTGGTGGGCAACGCGGCCACCATCGTGGTGCTGACGCGGCGCCGCATGCGCTCCTCGACCAACGTGTACCTGACGGCGCTGGCCGCGTCGGACCTGCTGTACCTGACCGCCATCTTCCTGCTGTCGCTGCGGCACTACCCGGGGATCGGCTCCATGGACACCAGCTACTTCTTCTACTGGCGGCTGCACCGCTTCGTCCTGTGGCTGGCCGACTCCATGAGTGAGTGTCCACGACTCGAAACAGATGTTCTGTCAGTTCAAATGTGTGCATTGTACACACTTTAAAAGATGTGTACATGGGCATGTTCACATTATTAAAAGCAAACATGCCATGTACACTTTATTCAAAGTGTACAATGTACACATTTGGATTGAACAGAGTGACTGTGGACATAAACATGCACACGTGGCATCCTGAAACAACTTCTCATGTTTTGTCCCCGCAGCGGCCACGTCCATCTGGCTGACGGTTGCCTTCACGGTGGAGCGGTACATCGCAGTCTGTCACCCCATGCGCGGCCGCCTGCTGTGCACCGAGTACCGCGCCCGCCTCGCCGTCCTCGTGGTGTGGTCCTTCTGCGTGTTCGCCACCGCCAGCGTGCCCTGGGAGTCGTACGTGGTCTGGCACCGCGACCACGCCGGCCGCGAGTGCGTGCGCGAGTGCGAGAGGTGAGGGGATTCACTTTGTGTGGGGAAGGCAACGGACACTGTACAGAAATCCATGGTAAAGAACGGACTCGCTGCGGAAAACTTGACCTCCCTGCTGTGTTTTGTTCCAAACAAGATGCAATAAACAACAAAACACCTGTGCTCCCGTGGGAAATTTGCCTTCATCATCTGGCAACACTAGTTGCAAGGTTTCTCGCAGAATTATTTTCTGTCAAAGTTAGCAGGGGCGTGTGTGAAGGCGCCCGTAACTTTAAATGAAAAACTGAAATAATTTACTGTGCACAAAAGGTCCTTGTGCGCCCATCCCGACGCACGGAACCGTCGCGCTCCGTTTACGATGGCTGCGGCTCGGATCCAAGCCTTTCCATTTTATCCAGCGGCATGGCACTCTACCGCTCCGACATCCGCCCGCCCACGGGTCCACGACCACGGCCGAGGGAGGACAAACAGCTGTTGACGCGTTAAAAGCCTGGGGTCTGGCGCCTCGGAAGGCAGCGCGCCTCCGCATCGCACCTGGGGGGTGGGGGGAGGGCTGCGTGCGAGAGCTACTTGGATACACAGCCACGGAAGCACGCTCACAATAACTTGGCACGCGCCCCCGGCACTCTCAAGCGACACGAACCCGTTTTTTTTTTATTTGTCGCAGTTGGCTGGGCGCAAACGAGGTCTACATAAGCATCTACTCGTGGTTCTCGGCGCTCCTGTTCATGGCCCTGCCGCTGTTGATGCTGGCCGTCTTCAACTGCTTCCTCATCAACGCCGTGCGGCAGAGCCGGCGAGCGCGACGCTCCATGACGCAGGTACGTATTGCGGCCGCGGCCCGGAGAGTGGAGCGCCCGCCAGAGTCCGGGTAGGCAGGCCCGCCGCGCGCGCGTGCGCTGGAGCCAGGATAGTTGCCTACCTGGCAGCCCTTCGGGTTTTTTTTTAAAGTAAGGCGCCGCATAAGCCCTCTAGCTGGCGGGCATCGGATGCCTACTTGGCGTCCGTCAGCGAATAGGAGTGAGAGGAAGCTATGGTTCGGAGCGAGCTTCTCACTCCCACCACCGCTTTCGGACCAGATACCACGAGCGAGCATCGCGGATCGGATACCCGTTTGGTCCGAAAATGACAGGAGAGTGAGGTGCTCGAACCGGAACGTTGCTCTCTTTCACTCCCACCTCTTGTTTTCCTTCCAAACGAGTATTTGTGGGGCTCTGTATCGTACGCCATCCGGTGTTCGCGCCCGCGGCAGAGCTCTGGAGCGCCCGTCAGAGCTGGGGTAGGCAGGCCCGCCGCGCGCGCGTGCGCTGGAGCCCAGAAAGTTGCCTACCCTGTAGGCGGTGAGGCCCGGAGTGGAGCGCCCGCCAGAGTCCGGGTAGGCAAGCCCGCCGCGCGCGCGTGCGTTGGAGCCCCGAGGGTTGCCTACCTCGCAGGCGGTGAGGCCCGCCGAGTCCCTCAGTACCTGTTGCAGGTCAAACCTAAACCTCCCTGCTGCGCTATCGCAGTGCGCGCGCTCCCTGGCATTCCGTCCGTATGTAACAAGAAACGCATTACACTCACCCGGAATTCTCTCGTGTCCGACAGAACGAGCCCAACTCGGTGTCACAGCACCAGAGGCAGGAGAACCGCATCACCATCACCCTCATTGGCGTCGTCATCCTGTTCCTTGTCTGCCAAACGCCCTCCGCAGCCCTCCTCGTGTACAAGAGCTTTGTGGACGAAACAAAAGTACACCGAAGTCTGGGCAACATCTGCAACTTCCTGGTGGCTGTTAACGCTGCCTCCAACTTCCTGCTGTACTGCGCGCTGTCAGACAAGTACCGGCGCACCTTCCTCGTGACCTTCGTGCCCTGGTGAGTCTCGGTGGGGAGAGGGGTCCCCGAGAGTGACCCTGGTGGCGAGAGAGACCGCTCTATCACAAACCGATGCATCGCTTTATTCTAACTTGAAACAAGTAGGAGAGCTTGCGTCGATACTCCATGCACGAGCGACCACTGTCACCCTCAGCTGCGCAAGTGGGCGCTCCGGCGTGGGGTATCGACGCGGCGGTACACGACTCAGACAAGAGACATTTCTGACATTTGTAATTGTGAGGCAAGACTGTTGTACTTTGGGTAAAATACAACACATTTTGTCTTACTTTGGCTAATGTGAGATTGTCTTTCTTTCCATTGAACGATGCAAAGCATCTCCGGTCACTCCGGTTGACCCAATACACACAAGTAAGCACAAACTAACCTGAGGAGGGTTGAGCATCCCTCTCCCCATCTCTCTCTCTCTGGTCGAACTGACGGCGCTCTCTGCTCCGCCCCGCAGGTGCTACAAGGCGCAGTCTACGGCGCTGCAGCGCACCGGCTCCATGTACTCGACGCACTCGGACTTCACCAGGACGACTCGCTCCAGGGTGGGCAGTGTGTACCTGCAAGTGCCCAAGGACCGCAGCAACGGCGCGGGTGGGAACCGCCTGCAGCGGACGGCCTCGGGGTACTCGTCGCAAAGCGTGGGCGGCGTCCTGGGCGGCGCCAACCGCAACCAAAAGGATAGACCGTCCCCGAATCGTCTCGCCCCGCCCTCCGCAGCAAACGGCAACGGGTTCGACGGTCACGACTGAGTGTCGCGCGACCGGCAGCAGCTTGCGCGTGGAGCGGAATGGACACGGGCAGCAGTGTGGGAGTGTGGGGCAGTGCGGCCGCCGGACACGGGTGCTGCTGGCAGAGCAGTCAGTGACAGGGTGTTCGGGAGGTGACAAGGCATCAAGACTAAAGGATGTACGACGCATGCAGGAGCTGCGTGCACCTACCTCTCCACCACAACTATACGTGACAGGGGACCGAGTGAACTATGCTAGATGCTAAGCAGTCCACCTTTCTTTGCCTTCATTATTGTTTAAGCTACTGTGAGAACGAGGAGTGATTGAAGAGACATTTGTTAGGATGTGGAGCTTCTCCACGACTACTCAGAATGATCAAATTTTCTAGTCAAGAGCTGTGCTCTGCGTAATGTATATGTTACAAATCATCATCATTGTAAATTATATCGTTATATCATTTATCATAAACATACCAAGTCCAATTATGCTTCTAATTTGCTGTGAATGTACTGGGATGTTTTTGAGAACAATCTAAGTCTTAGTTCATCTTCAGTAATCTGCTTTGTCAGGAAGATTGATGTGCACTGATGCATCTCCGACAGTGCAGGTTGAACCAACTGTTCTTCTCTGCACACATATCAAACAAATTTGTATATAATAAAATAAAAGACAGCAGGGGTGACTTATATCTGCAGCAAAGATACTTTACATCATCTTTTATTATGCAACATATCCTAAAACATATTTCACAAAAACATAAAAGGACAACAAATAAAATGGCTGCCTAACCAAAACAGCCTTTAAAACAATCATACTTTGAGTGGAAAGTTGTATCACTAACATAAAAGCACTGGGCATAAATGTCTTGAACTATTTACAAGATAGAGGTACAGTATCACAAGTCTCATTGAGTACAAGGCTTAGGCCTTTGCATCCGAGAAACGCTTGGAGACATCTTTCCAGTTAACAACATCAAAAATAGCCTTTACATAGTCGGCTCGCACATTTTTGTACTGTAGGTAGTATGCATGCTCCCACACATCAATACCCAGCAATGGGATGAGGCCTGAAAAAGATTAAAACCAACCTATTAATATCCAATACAAAAAGGATCATAATTTGAAAATAGATAATATTTCCCTCAGGACTCTGTTGGCCTCGGGCTCAACAAAGCCACCCAGGTTGACGTCACTTTGATTTAAAAAACCAATATGCGAGCAAGGATGAAAAATTGGATCATCATTGGGAAGAGGCTAAAAAACCCGATTCAAAATAGATGTGTAAAAGTATGTCTCACCAGTAGTTCCTTGCAGGGGATCCTGATTGGCACAAGTTGCTATTTGAAGAGATTTGCTAGTCTTATCATAGCCAAGCCATGCCCATCCAGAACCTTGAACACCTACAGCCTTAGTTGAAAACTCATTTTTAAAGCTCTCAAAACTTCCAAAGCGCAATTTTAAAGCGTCTTCAAGAGTACCTACGTTGAACACAATGTTAAGTACATAAGTTCAGGTGATGGAGACAAAAGAGGCGAATGATCCATAGGGACGACCTACTGTCTGGTTTTGTTGTTTCAGGAGTAAGGTTCTGCCAGAAGATAGAATGATTGATGTGGCCACCTCCGTTAAACTTCAAGGCAGGCTGAAGTTCAATTTGTGCAGACACATCATCTGCAGGGATTAATTAAACCAATCATTAAATATAATCCAGTGATTGAGAGGACACAGTAAATAAATAAAAATACATACTTCTACTGATGGCAGCTTGAAGCTTTTCCAGTGTAGCATTATAATTGGTTACATAGGCAGCATGATGTTTTTGATGATGTAGAGTCATGATATCGCGAGAAATAACTGGCTCCAAGGCACTGTACTCAAAAGGAAGATCAGGAAGAGTACTCTTTTGTGCACATTGGGGAGCTGTTCCCATGAGCATGTAAGCATTGCGCCTGAAAGAATATTGTTGAAATAGTTACAAGATAAAAACTAACAACTTAGCAAAGGTAAAATGTAGAATATGATAGATCCCTCAGAACCCTGTCAGCCTCGGGCTAAACAGAGCCGGCCAGTTTAACGTCACTTTGATTCAATGAATCAATATGCGAGCAAGGATGAAAGACTGCATCATCATAGGGAACCACAAAAAGATTCAAAGACACTTCATCAAGTAATATACTGATAGATTCCTCAGGACCCCAACAGCCTCGAGCTAACAGAGCCGGCCAGATTTACGTCACTTTGGTTCATTGAACCAATAAGCGAGCAAGGATGAAAGGTATAATCATCATAGGAAACTATAGACACGACTCCAAAGCAATTTCTCGTGAACTTATACCAGTGTGACAAAACATCGAGACATCCCTTCAGGACTCATCAGCCTCAGGCTAGCAGAGCCGGCCAGGTTAACGTCACTTTGGTCCATAGAACCAATATGCGAGCAAGGATGAAAGACTTGATCATCATGAGGAGTCACAATGAAATGTCACAGGAAAATTCTCTACACGCAGGAATGTCTGCCGGCCTAACCCGGACTTTTTCTGGGGTGGCGGCAGCACAGAACAGGATAGTAAAGGCATCGTAACCTTTCTTAGATAAAACAAATTCCAAAAATAAAAATATAAAGCGAATAACGGTCGAGCTGAGCAAATTTGGTGCACATCACAAACCGTCAACCGTCTAAAAGGTGTCTAGCCTATCTACTTGATTATGGCACCCTTACCTCACAACAGAGAACGCAGCATTTCGAAGGGACAGCATTTTAGAGGATTTTATCTATCGAAACGAAAAGAAAGACAGTAAGTTAAAACTGGTCAAAACAACGAACAAAGCACTAGCACGAAGTGGGTAGAGCTTAGTTTTTGCAAGCTAAGACTTATCAAAAATTCGGTATATATACCTTCCTGGGGCTGGGGCAAAGGACGTCTCGATAACAGACAAATTCGAAATTGACCGTTAGTTCTGCTAGGTATGAAAAATTACTGATGGGATCGAGATCACGGGAGATTTTGTTGTTATGACGTCAAACCGGTCTGGTTTTGATTCCTCCCCCGAGACAGTTTGTGTTTAAAAGTGGCTGAGTAGTGCAGCGCGTGGTCGTAGAGGTTATCAAGAAAACAAACATTCACATGTGTCTTTTCAGTGTTCAACAATGAGAAAATAGTAACTTGACAAATTGTTACTGCCATTACGTGAAAGTGTTTAATAACAACGCAGCTTGTGTATGTGTCAACTATTATTCTGAGTTACAACTGCTAGTGTGTTTAATTAAGTCACATTATACTACTTATAAACATTCCTGGAAAATCTAGAGGTGTCACAATGGGTATTAAAGTGAAACGGAAAGCTTCAAAATCTTTAAATGAATCACCTGTTCTGACGGAACGTAATGACACCACAGAAGCTGAACCACCAAATAAAAAACAGAAACTGCTATCGCCTGAGGAATTCATAAAGTCTCTACGTGGACCAAATGCATCTGAAAGTATGTGTAGTATTATGCTTTTTACCAAGGCAGAAGTCCATTTTAACTTTTCTAATCAAGTTCTCTCTTTGTTTCAGGTCTCAAACAATGGTTATATCTCATTTCAAACAAGAAAGAGCAAGCTCAAATGGACAAAGATTTATCTCGTAAAACTTCAAAACCAAATGAAGAAGAGACTGCCAAAATCAATAAACAGCAGGGAGAAAATGAAGAGGTAAAAGACACAGATAAAACTGGTATAGATGAAGATGATGATGAAGATCTGGAAGAGGGAATAGAAAAGGATGCAGGTTTGTAGATGTACTTACCATCTAACTTTGTTGTGAGTGTGTGTTGTATCTGACTTTGCCCATTGTTTTAAAAATTTTCAGACAAAGAAGAGGAAGAAGGTTTGACACACATTGATGCCTTTTTATCTGCTGGTGGGTCGATATCAGATATTGTGTACACCCTACCTTCTGCCGAGAGTGCACATGCATCACATCTAAGACATGTGTTCCGGGTCCTCTACAAAATTCTTCTGAGGTAAAGTAAAATTATTGAATTTTTTTAAACCCAATTAAGTGCACTTGCACTCTTAACCATGAATATCAAACTACTGCAAATACTGTAATCAATTTTATTCAATACATAGGATATCTGCTGAACACCATGACAAAATCCCTGAGGCAGTGGAAGTTTGTAGGGACTTAGCAAATACATATTTGAAACAAATCAATGATATGTTGAAAATACAACGAGCGCCTCGGGAAAGGATATGCAATCTAGAACTTCTGACAGGTACACTCATTATTGGAGCGATTTTGAAATTACTGTCTTGCTCTCTGTCTAATTGCTCTTTAAACTGTTTTTTTTTTTTCTTTCCACAGCTATGGCAGCTTTGGATTCCAAGTTTGCCAAGGAGATTTTAAGTATAATATCCCTAGAAGCAGAGACAGCAGATCATCTGACATCTCCTAGAGTTGCATTTTCAGTGCGGTTAGCTTATCTGAAATTCCTTATTGCACTCCTCATTGATGCTGACACTCCCTCAATTATGGCTGTTGTTCACAAGCCATGTAGGTGTTGGTCATTGTAGTCAAATATATTTATTTACTTTAATACAGTAATTCATCACCAATTATCCTCACTACATTTTATCATCTTTTTAATTGTAGGGATGCTTTCCTCAGTCTGGGAAGGACTGCAATATGACCCATCTCATATAGTTGTTTTATTGCTGATGACTATTAAAAAAGCTGTTTTAGAGAACAAGTCTGTTCCCAAATCTGCCAAACAAATAATTTTTAACACTGATGGCATAATTTCACTACTTCACTTGTACAAGTGGAAAGGTCCTCAAAATAGACCAAAATCACTAACATTTTGGGCAATGAAAAAAATGGATGATAAGCCCAAACTATTGGCTGAGGTAAGTTTGACATAAAATTAAAACTCTTATCTAAATTTTTGCTGCAGTTTTTCTAATATATTAATTGATTTCTTCTTCCAGATTGATAGCATTGAAGCAGAGCAAGTAGCTGATGCTGTGCAAGAGCTACTTATTGTTCTCCTGACTGATCATCGCTTTGGGATAATTTTCAGAGATACTGCTGTTGCACACCAAAGTGACCGTCATAACAAAATGGTTTCCAGAGTACTAGAAGTATGTAGAAAACCTTTTAAAATCCAGCTAGACTCCTTTTCCTTTTTGGTATAATGGTCTTATGTTCGGTAACTTTTTTTTTTCAGAGAATTGGCCATCCGTGGGAAAATGTGAAAGTAGCTGGGCTTGTGTCTAAAGTTCTTGCAGCTTGCCCCGATTCATTACGTTCAACACTAGCATCAATGAAACCTTTTATAAAACCAAGGTCATCAGAAAAATGGTTTAACTGCATTAAATTTCTAGAGCAGGTATCTATCTATTAGATTTTACATTATTTACACGTTGAGTCCCACATGACCACACATATGGTCACAGTAGCATGCAAAAGGGACCCCTCGTGGGACTCAACAGATTAGCGGGGGCATTCAAATTAGCCACCTATATTTTACCATTTTAAAATTGTATCTAGGTTCTTGAAGACCAATGTCCGGAAGAGGTTCTTCTTCGTCAAGTTTCATGGCTAACAATGATGCATTTGGGAGCAGCAGCCATTGAAATGTGTTCTCCGTCATCAATTCTCAATGCACTATGCTCAGACAACGCAGATGCCCTTTACACAGATGATATAGCAGTTGCGAAATGCACAGTCAAGCTTCTTGTTTCCATGCTTAAGAAAATTTACAACTTCACTGAAGTGGTCAAGCGGTGGGCTTCAAGTGGTGTTCTCTCATATGCCCAATCAACAGCATTCTGTCGTCATATTTCAGATTATGTGTCCAAGGTGAGATATTTATGATCTTAACAACAAAACAGACTATTTCAATCACATTTATTTTTTATCTATTACTTTTCTATGTTCTCTCTTCTAGAATGTTCCAATGTTGAGCTCCATTCAAAAGGCTTGGCAACTATGGAGTGAGAAATGTAAGACTTCTGAAACACTAAATGATGAGTCTGACAAACCTATTGATATTTTGTCCTTTCTGCTGGAACTCCTTGAATTTTACCACAAGCTATGCCCTTCTACCTTGGACCCCTTGCATGCAGAACAATCGGACCTTAAAATAGCTATGACTAACACTGTTTTGGAGACAACTGGAACAGAAGAGACTGCTCAGTTGCGTAATCGTTTGTACCGGCTACTTTTGGCTGTCAATGATCAGGATTTCAGTGCTGAAAATGTAAGAGTCCTATGTCAATTTTTTAAATACTGTTTGCCTATTACTTTTTTTATAATGGTGAATTTTAAGGAATAAAAACTAACTATCATTTTTCTTTTAGATGGAAATGAAAGAACCCATGCAATTAATTTTCAAAGATTTGGTTAGCCAGTGTGCTACTGTCCGAAGCTTAGCTTGGTCAGTTCTTCAGTCCCTAGTCAGGAGAGCAGGAACCCTAGAGGGTAGTCCACAAGAGGCTGTGGTTTGGTTGTCAGTATTTCAAGAAACATTCACAGGCCAAGAAGAACTAAGCAAGGAAGTGGTTGAAATGCTGGTTGAAAGTGTTTTACGCGCTTGTTCACAGTGTCCAAAATATTTGGATATTATTGCTCGTTCTGAAGAAGGGGCTGCTGAAATTTATAATGAAGATGGCACTGCTCAATGTTCCCTGTTTGATGAAGCCGCATTTGATGAACTTCTGGAGGGTAAATATACAGAAATACTACATTCATTCATCGAGGTGTCAATTTTTCCATAAGTTTTGTCTGTACTGTGTAGTTTTGTTTCTCTTTTTATTTTCCATTAAGATGCTTCAGAAACTTTTGATCAACAACCCAACCCCAACAAAATTCATTTTAGTTCTGTCACTGTGAGTTCATGGCTTCCAAGTTTCCTAGAAGTTTTTGGGGAGTATACTAATGGGAAAAAAATTAAAAAGCGGTCGAGACTGGTAAGATTTTCATGTTGTAAAGTGTATACCTTGACAAAAAAATTTGCAGTACAATTCATATTGTTTAAATTTTCATCTCAGATTGCTGAAGAATTTTGTTGCAAGCTGATCTTACGACTACTGTATCGGCTTCCTCACCCTGGACCATTCTTTTATTTACTTTTGAGAACATACTCCAAAATAGTACCAGCAAAGCTCACAGATTACCTGCAATCTTGGGTACCTGGGGGCAACCCTCAGCTTGTGCAGTTACATCTTTTGGGAGAAAGTAGTGTAGAACTGAAACTTGGGACTTACCTGTTCTTTGATGATGGTATTGAAAATGTGTCCTCTGAGACTAAGCTTCAGAAACTCTTTCTCAGCCTTTCTCTCCCAACAGTTGAAGATGACTTCAAAGGTACCTTACAATTTTTACTAATTCACAATGAAGAGAAACTCTACAAATAATTTTTCATTCTACCTTTACTTCTATTTTTTTAGGGAATGTATCTGATGTCAGAAAACTAGAAGTAATTGGACAAGTTGTACAAGTGGTTTACTTTATTTCCTTCCACTTAACACAACTAGCCCAACTTAAAAACTTGACTGAAGACTTTGTTATCAGATCTCAAGAAATGCTCCTATATATGTCTGAGGTTGCATCACATTTTGATGATTATTACTATAAGGGAAAGGAGCACGGACTTTTCTTTGAGATTTTTAAGGTATGTTGAAATTATAAATCTTCCCCCTAATTACCAGTTAATCATTATCAGTTGGGTAACTCTAAGAATGCGTCTTTATTTTACTACAGGTTTTATTCTGTCATCCAATGTTATACCAACAATTTAATCCTATTACAAAACACAACTCAGAATCATCTACACTTTTAACAAATATGATGATTAATTTGGCAAAGAAGGCCTCTGTGTGTCAATCTCTTGAAAACTACTTGATGCCATTTAAGGATAAACTCTTGACCATTGTAAAGTCACTGGCTAAGAAAAAGAAGAAGAAAATGCCCAAAGGAGACATAGCTTTTATGATCAGTGCAATTCCACTTAAATTTGAGGAGATCTCAAATCTTTTGGAACTTACTGCATGTCTTCCAGCCACATCTTCAATGATTGGCAGTGATGAGAATTTAAAATTGTCACCTTGGTATCATCTAACTGCTCATCTCTTCAGTCGTGCATCTGATCTTCGAAACAAGGGAAGTTCAAATAAAAATGAGGTCATGCTACTTCCTCCTGCAGTTATTACTCAGGTTTCTGATCTGCTGCTAGAAATGCTACCCATTAAAAATTGTGATGCAACATCATTAACTGAGGCTCTTATGTCATATATTGAGTCTTGTCCTCAACAGACAGCACATGTTTCTGAGGTAAGTTTAATTACTTGTTTATTTCTTGTTTTAATTAATTTGTCATATCATGACAATAAATTCCATGGTCACAAGTTATATTTTCTCTCCTTGTTGCAGTCATTACTACAATGCATGTTAAACTCTTGTGAAGCAAATCAGGCCACATGTAAATTAGCTCAATGGGTGGCTTCATGTACATCATCAAAGGAGTTGCTAAGTAAATTAAAAAGCTCCATTAAGGACAAATTTACCACAAGAAAGCGTCTTGGGTTGATTTTGCCTGTCATAAGAGTAGCTCTCAAAAGTCAGGAAAAAGAAGGTGAGGCCAAAATTGTACACCTTAACAAAAAAATTTACACTACTTTTTAATATTTTTTTTCAATAAGATATACATTCAGTATGAAGCAAGTCACTTTTGTCACCATCAATATTGTATGTTCTCAGGTTTTTGGAAGCCAGTTTTGACACCATTGTATGATCAGATGAAGTCTGAAATACACGAACATGCTATCAGTCTAGCTAACCACCCAGAATGGTTAGCCTCCAATACTGATGTAGTTGTCATATTAATGAAACGCTTTATGAAGACTGATGAGAGAGAAAGCATATGCAAAGCTCTTGAGAAAAAGGCTCCAGCACTGACTGAAGAAAAGCAGTACTACTTAAATTTAATAACCGAAGTCTTACAGTCTCAGCCACCTCAACTGTTGTTATTGCTCCTGGCTTGGCTAGGGGTTTCATTAAAGAAAAATGGAAATTCATCCGGACACATTGGCCTTGTTCAGTTATTGAGTGATGCTATTGTCAGGTTTACAAAAGAAGTAACTTTTGATAACTTCTCAAGCGTAAAAGAAAGCAAAGTTTGGCAGGAAACTTTGAGATTGACCCTGAAATGGGGACTTGCACATGGAAAAGATGATGATGAAACTGGAAACAAGGCATCAGATGTATCATGTATGCTCTTGAAGACACTTCATTCTCTTTTCAAGAAGATGTATGTCATTTTGGAAGATCATGAGCACATTAAGTTGGTTCATAGTATGACCATACAGCACTCTGAATTTCTAAATATTATGATGGGCACTTCCCCCTCTAAATTTGAACTTGTTCAGCTTCTTAATGTTCTCATAGAAAGAAGTCCTAAGATGATGGATTGTTCTCATGTGCCTGTATTGCTTGCTGCTTACAGTGCTAGTTTAAGTAAAACAGACCGAGCTCTTCTTAAAATACTTATCCTGTACGAACAAAGTGGAATAGATCTTTCCCAGTATCGTCCTTACTTCTGGGGACGCCAAGGAGCAAATCATTACTCAATATGGTCTCAGGGAAATAAAAATAATAAGACTCTCTTGCAGCAACCTAGACCAGATCAGGTTCTTGGCCTTCTGGATATTAATATGGTAATGCAAACCATAGGACAGTTCTCAATTAAATCTACTCTGAAGGTAAAGTTGCCCTTAATCTATTTTTTATTATTATATAACCATTTTTATTCTCCTACTGTTTATGTTAATCAACTTTAAAATTTTTACAGATATCTGAAGATGAAACTGAATTTGTTGATGGAATCTATGACCCATCATTTTACCTACCTTTGTTTATGTACCTTTTGTCTCCAGAATCACCAGTTCTAACACACATGTTTGTTAGGTCTGGTGCTCTTGCTCTTACTCTTTCTGCTCTTGCAAGTTATGACATAACAATAAGAGCAGCTGCATTCACCACTCTCTCGCGTTTTATTTCTCACTTGCAAATGGCAAGGTCAGTCACTTTTTAAAATCTAACATTTATTGCAATTTATTTTATTTTGCCTGTAATTATGAAACTTAATCTTTGATTTTTTTTACAGGGGACGCAATAAAGAACTATTGCTTCACTTCATGTCTGCTCTGCAAAAAGGTGTACTAGCCTTTGGAAGTGAAAATCCTAGACTTCCTAGTGTTGTTTCAGTCTTCCTATCACGGTCTGCCATTGAAATTTCCAATCCGTCAAGTCCTTTATATAGGCCACTCATTAACTTCATATTAGCCAAGCCTGCCATGAATTTAAAAACTGTACCTGAATTCTTACAACTATTGCATTCAGATCATGTTGATCACTTGTAAGTACTCAACCTGACAAATTAATTAGGTAGGAACGAGTTTTTGCACACATCACATAACTAATAATAAATCATATTTCAGAGCACATCGACATTGGATCCTTGAAGTATTAGCTGAAGGTATCCGAGCACCAATTGATGTCGATTTATGCACAGAGGTTGCTGCTTTTAAATTGTTGCCCGCATATTATTCATCATGTCTTTCTGATTTCAAAAGCAAAGTGAGTTCTTGTATTTATTTACACATCAGTTAAAAATTACATACATTATATGTTTCCAAAACAAATTATCACAATCACTATGGCTAATTTTTTTTTTTTTTTTTCACAGCTCCTTATTTTGCAATGGTTAAGATCAACTGTTGCAGTCCAATATGGGGCATGCCGTTTAGTGAGAGATTTCAGCTTTGTGTCATGGCTTCATCAAACAATTATGAATCTGACTGTTGAGAATTCCACTCTCACTACTGAAATGGTAAGCTTGCTGTCTGACTTATGGGGCTCTTTGTCTATGTCCACCAAGGGAAAGCAAGATTCTGAAACAGGTCGCCCAATTCCACACATTGAAAGTTCAGCTAGTAAGGTGTTGCTTCTCCTCCTTACCTTACATCTTAAATTGACACCTCAGACTTGTGTCGACAGTCTTATTAAGTACATTTCTGTTCTTACCAAAGTTACTTCTTGCCTTCAACCTGAAGAAACTTCTATGTTTTCAAAAGAGAAATTGTTATCAATTCTTGAAGTGGGATCTGCTTTTAGTCCCAACAAGAGAGAATTTTTTGATCTGCTTGAATTTGGACATAACTTTACTGAAGTTAAAGAAATATTGCCTGATGTGGGAGACAAGCCCAATGAGTTGAGGCTAAAGCTAAGAGCATTGACCATTCAGTGGAGCAAGTGTCAAGCCTTAGTACACATTATGCTGTAAAGGAATGTAACTTAGTTGGAAACAAAGCTTTGCAAAGCAATTTAATAAACATTGTTATGATATATTTTATTATTATTATTGATTAATTTTACAGATAGTTGCTTCACTCCTTTTTCTTTTCTTCTTTTTCTTGAAGTTTCCTCTCTAATTTTTGAAATTCAAACTTTGTCATTATCTCCAAATCATCAGTAACCTCTTCCACAGCAACCACCTGTCAAATTTGATTATTTAGAATTTAATTTAGTCATGCATAAACCATAAGCTTTGTCAAAAAATATCTTCACATTGTGAAAACATACCTCTGGTATATAAAATTGCAACATATTCTGAACTCCATTTTTCAGAGTTACAACAGAACTAGGACAGGATGAGCAGGAACCTTGCATTTTTAATTTTACAATCCCATCTTGGAAACTCTGTGCAAATGAATGTGTAGGTTGAACAATTTGTGTTGTAAGAGGGAGGGGGAAAAAATGCATTTAAAATCAAAGAAATTTCAAAGTATCCTTACTATAAATAAAATATCTCCTCCGTCTTCCTGTACTGTTGGTCTGATTCGAGTATCAAGTAACTCTTTTATCATTTGAACAGTCTCATCGTCATCCTCCGCAATTTCTAAGATCAGAATTTCAATTTAGTATGTAACTGCATATGCAACCTTAAATTATGAGGGTGGTGTTACAGTAATGGCTGCTTATAATGTTGCCCCTAGGAGTTAAGTCCAAACCTGTGTCTGAAGGTTTCTGGGCAGATTCATTTATAATAGGAAGTCCACTAGCAAAAAAGTCCATAATGGTGGCAAATATTTCTGGTTTTAAAACCTTCCAGTCCATATCTTCATCAACCTTGTCACAATAACACAGATACATTAGACTTGAAATTTTGGGGAGTAGGTTGTCACAACTTTACTTCACAGGCGCGATTGTTACCTCACCTTTGTAACTGTTATAAAATCCGGCCCAAAAAAGACTGCTTTGACGCCTTCAATTCGGAATAGTAGTTTACCCAAGGGGGAACAAAATGCTTCCGTTCCATTGGGGAAATCTTTAGTTTTACCTGGACCAAGTACCTAAAAAAACAATGAGTAAACCATTTAAATTGTAATACAGCTGTCATGAACTGATAAATAAACCTATCTACTCACATCAACTCCTGGTAAAAATTTCAAGCTGTTGGGGTTTGGTGTATCCTGCGTTTGAATGAACATAGAACGTTGTCCTTCTACAAATCCAGTCTGAGGTCTGCATAGTAGGTAGTCTTTGTGCTGGCCATTAGGAAGGACAGCAGAACTTGTTATGGAGTGAAAATTTCTAACGGCTATTACGTTTCTGTAAAGAAAAAGAGGAGGACAAAATATATCAGGGACTGATCTTTCAGCATTCGAGGGAGTTTCTTGTATGTACTGATAAAATCGTGAATGGAAAGCATAATGACATTGTAAAGTTGATTTCAATAGAAACATGGAAAGAAAAACTGCAACGGCAGGAAGGACTGAGTTTGCGTAACAGCCTTTAACCTAACTATATCTATTAAAGGCGAAAGAGAAGACGTCTTAAGTATAATATCTTGGTTTTTCATTCCACTGCAAGGCATTTTGAGCTATTTAAGATAAATGACAACTCACTGCGCATTTTGTTTAGCCGTTAAATAAGAGAAAATGTGTCGCAATCTTGTGACATTAATACGGGACGCCATCTTGTATACCTTTTCACAGTGTAGTCAACTTGACTGACCATCATTCATTCGGTTGTTGAATGTTTTAAACTGCTTTCATTTTGGTAATTTTTAATTACACATTTTATTCATTGAAAATAGCCTGTGTTTGGGTATGTTGCTAAAAAGGAAATATGACACAACACAATTTCCTCTCTTTTTTTACGAAAGCAGTAGTGGCAGTGTGACCGCGCCATCGCTTCAAATGCAGGCGGAGTTTAGGTGTCTCGGGTCTCAAGCTTGGGTGTTTGGGTTTGTCCCCGTACGATGTGGGATCAACCCCATTTAATTTTATTGGAGAGTAAATGAGCGAATAATTTATGAAAGAAGACACTTGTAGGTAACTATAATTTAATATACAAAAGAAACTTACTTACTAACTAACATTGCTATAAACATCAAGCATAATAATCATAATAGTAATAATAATAATAATTATAAAGACAATCACCATCATTCGACGACCACAGTACCACATCACATCTACGTGCATTACTTACAACGACACCGAGTGGGTTGTTGTTTTCCTAATACACACTAATCCTATGAGTATATTGTATGTTCGGAAATTTCTTGGCGGAGGAATAATTAAGGCCCGCGGCAAAATTTCCCCCTGCTTTTTAACTGTTTACTACAGAGAAAACACCTTTCTTTCGCATTTTTTAAAAAAATGTCCAATGTTTTTCTGCTTTACATTATATCCGTAAGGTAGTGCTGTCTATTGCTTGTGCAGAGCCGTCATAAAGAAGATTGAAATGCTATTTTACTATCATTGTTTTATCTTTACATAAAGGCCTGATTTTGAAAGAGTCCGTTCTTTGGGGGCTTACTTTAATTAATCACAAATTAATTGTACCACTGCCCACCTTTTTGCGTTGTGGCTAGGTCCAGTGTTTGTCAGACGGCTGTCAATGTTACTGGTCGTTGATTTTGCCTCTACCAAAGTCGTTAATTCGGACGCGCTTCAGTTTTACCAACTAAATAACAATCAGCTCTCAGATTTTCATTTATGTGGTGACACAGCCCTTCATAAAGAACGCCGCAAAATGTGTTTCGTGTTCTCATACTCATAATATTAGAACGATGAACAAGAAACACCGGATATTAACTATGTTTATCAGTCGTGATACATTAATTTATTTATTAGAAAATTGTCGTCTTTGGAGTTGTTAAAGTGCAAAGAAAATAATTTCAAATAATGGTCCTTTTCCCGGAAACGTCAATAGGCCCAAGCGTTCTTTCTTGTAACCAGGCATTTCACTCTTACAAAATTGATCTAAAGAAAAACAATACATTAGCCGTTACTGTTTCGCCATGTTTCGTCGTCCAACGCTGATTATTAACAGCACTGACGCTAACATTCCATCAAGCATCAGGGTCAGAAAGGAAACTCTTCCGGACTGGAAGTAGTTACTTATGTTTTTTCTGTGAGATCCGGCTAGTGATTCACCTTACACTTTCTTCACCTCTGACGGTGTCCCCACAATGAACGTTTGCCTCGCCAACGCCAGTGATAGCGCCTGCGACGCGCTGGATAGGCCAGCCCGCCGAGCAGCTGTGTGAAATCGTCGGCCCGCCCTCAGCGGCCAAGAGCAACAAGGGCTCGGGCACGAGTGCGTTTGGCAAACAATGTTTTATGTTTCCTTGCGTCATCAGCCCGGGGAATGTTCATTGTGCGGGGGCATACCTTGAGCAGTTCTATCGCGGCCCGCTGCTACCTCACCATGTGCGGCCATGCACAGCACAATACTTACGCAAGTGTGTGAATGTCGCTCCCTTGTAGGTGTGTAAATATCCTTTTGCACACTTAGGGGGGTAAATGGATGAATCTTTACTAGAAAATTCACACTTTTACCCCCAGTGTACGAATGGATATTCACACACCTACAAGTGTGCGACATTCACACACTTGCGTTTCCAGTAGAGGTGGGGGCGGGGCGAGGTCACGATGGAAACGTAACCCCGACCAGCACCCGCTAAACGGAGCTAGTTGGGGTCCTCCGGGCAGGCTACTGGCTAGCAGCGAACCGTGATAGCCCTGCAGGAAGACCCGGGGAAATGGGATTGCGAGAGTACTTATTTGCTTACGTGTACCCTTTCACCCCTCCCAGCCAGAAATGACACATATGCCGAAACGCGTTTCGACATCGTAGGTTGAACCAAAGGACCTAAAATACGAAATGACAAGTTTTTGAACGGGTCGATTTTGATTCGACGAATACCGATGCGAGGTTTTTGCCTGCCAGGCGTGTTATTTTTGAGGCTTTTATCCTTTTAAACACCTGGGCCTTTTTCTATTTCCATTTTAATCAACAACTGGGATGTACAGGAATCCTCTTCAAAAGCTGCTAATGATAACAATAAATAACAATACTCGCGCTCGTCATCTAATAACGTAATGCGATTTGTCATACATCCGCCAAGAGCTCTTAATCTCTTTTCTTGTAGTAAAGTGATATGTTATCCATATAACTGTCTATAAACCTAATGGTACCGTAAATAGGATGTTCTAAACTAACTCCTTCCGTTTCCAATGAGTGAGTCCTCGCTCTACTCATAATACTCAGGAACTTTACACGACCGATTGTGTGAGCAGGGGGTTTAACTGCTTATCATTTGTTTGGAGACAAATTTTTGATGATACAGAGGTAGTTGAAAAGTTAAAGAAAGGGCAATGATAAGGTATACCCAGAAGGGCACTTGATCTGTTTATAATCGCTGTTGTTTTGGCTTTTCGCCAGGAAATGAACGGCGGAAGACGAACGCCCCGTGAGTTTGAAGCTTATCATTTCAGCATATTTGAGAGGCTTGATACTTGATCTCACGATAATCGAGTCCAGTCATCGTGCATTCCATCTCTAACTAGCTAAGCAGTGATACTATTATTGTCTGACTGTGCCGTGCGAGTATCACGCACTGCGATAAAAAGCTAGCGATACAAAGAGAGAGAAATAAGGAATGAGCGTTAAACGGGATGAGAAGGAAAAAAACCCTCCCGATAAATGCAAGTAATCAAAGAGAGATGGAGAGAAAGAGAAAGAGGAAAATAATAAATGTAAATATATTTAAATATAACGATCCTAACGAATGGACGATAAATTCATTATGATTAGTTTTAAACATTAGCTTTATAAAACGATAAAAAGGCTAAAATTAGCTTTGTAAATTACATACCACGAATTAAAGCTTTATGTTTTTCAGAGGCATTGTCCAGGAACCAATGCAGGCACAAGTCCCATTACTCTTGCCATCTTCACGGATAGCTCTATGATCTATCCTAAACAGACAGTAAAGCACAGAAAAATCCCGTCGGCCAGAATACTCAGTCGTATGGTAACAGCTCCATTCACTCTCTCCAGACTTGTCCTTCAGTAAGGAAGCCTTAAACTGAAAGGAAACAACTTCCATCCTCGCTTAACTTCTTAGCAGAATAATGTCGAGCGACTACAACCCTGGAACCACATACCCATTGTAAACATTTTACGCTCATTACGTACTGGTAGCGCCACACATTTAAAAATGTAAAAACAAAAATGCTTCAAATTTTTTAAAGGACTTTTTTGTTTTGAAATAACCACTAACTGCGAGTTTGTCTGCGTCGCATTTGGTCTTCGAGGAAAAAGTATCCAAACCACAGACCTTAAACGCATAGGGGTTAATTAGTACCTTCAGTGTGGCTACAAGAATACTTGAATTATTTCAAAAAGATTCGAACCATTGTCCAAAGCGCGTGTTGTATTAATTGCTGTGCGTCTTTATGGCAATAGCAAGAGAGAATGAGAGCATGTAGCCTCAGACAAAAGGTCCATAAGGTGAAAAAGTCAGCTATTGAGAAGAAAACACGATTTCATTGGAATATTTGAGACAGTTAAGATTATTATTTACCCGACGATTTCTCACGAAATCAAAATTGAGCATATGAATACGAAATAAAAGTAATAATTTTGGCGCGTCCGGCACATGTACACAACTATACATAAATAAAAAATATAATAAAGTTACAATTCTAGGAATAGCTATAGGTGGAAGCAAAGTGCCGCTATTCTGTTCCCCCATGCATGCGGTTCTTCACAGTCCCCCTGACTGAATCGTCTCACCATCGACGTAGAAACATAGGAAATCGCACGTGAAACCGTTATTTTAAAATGAAGTACTAACAAATAATTGATGCGAAAAAGAATAAAAGATTTTGCCTATCCCACAGCTTTTACAACCCCTCTAAAATTTACACCTTTCGAAAGTACACCACAGAATTACATAGAATCGCATAGAATCAATAGAACTGTGAAAAGATGAAAATTTTGAATTATACCGGCTACGAACACATTTTTCGTTGGAAATAAAACACCAGGAACGAAACCAGCACGCACTGGCTTTAACACATCTGGCCAAGATCCTTCGCCGTGGTCACCAGGAGAGCCATCCGCCCACCAGGAGTGGAGCGGAGGGTCCTGCTCGTTGGTTCGGAGGAGTGCGTGCGCACCCAAAGCCGGCCAGACGTTCGACAACAGTTAACAAAATACCATAATTAAAATAGTAAATTACAACGTATCAACATAGTTAAATTCCAGTATCTAATGTTTAAAAAATTATCTGCGTTTTAAATGCGCATAATGCGTATTAATCCATAATTAACGCGTATTAAAGATAAATATCTTTAGATGGGATTAATTTGTTTAACATTCTAAATAAAGATGCAACAACCGTACGCTGAAATCATTGATAACACTTAAGTATATGGCGGCCGTGGTTGGGACATTACAGCTCAGCCCTACAGCGTTAATCCTACTTCAATTCGTAGCCATCACCCAATCGCCGAACCTTGATTTCTTTCTGTCCTATAATGCGCGAATCTTTCACAGAACCTGTTTGTCAGTTAAGCATTCCTAAATCCTCTTCATCTTCCTTGCCATTTACAATTATATAAAACGCAGTCTACATGTCTCTAGCAAACTTCATGCCTAGCATGTTTTGACATTATACTCCGGAAGCATACCTTAAGTTGTGAGTAATAATAACGAATTTGGTGTTGATTTCGATCTGTAATAAAAATTGACTCTCCCCATGGATCCAGCCACCACCAGTCAACCTGATGCATCGGTCCCAGAACGCTCTCATCGTAAGTAAAAATAACATTTAGAAAACAAGGCGCTACATGAGCGTACACTTCTCCCGAATCTTCTTCGTGCCTTTGAGCTGGGACTTGCCCTTGGAGTCGAACTGCAGGGAGATGTTGCGGTTCTTCTCCATGTTGAGAAGCTCTTGGAACAGCTCCTTGACGTTGTGGTTGGTTTTTGCCGAGGTCTCCATAAAGTTGCAGCCCCACCCTTTGGACTCGGCCTCGCCTTCCGTGAGGGGTACCTCCCTGTTCTCCGTCTCGTCGCACTTGTTGCCGACCAGCATGACGGGGATGTTGGGCAGCTCAGCACCCTGTCAGACAAAGAGCGAGCAGTGAGCGGGAGCGGTGACGAGCGGTGCGCTGCTGGCGTCGCGGCCGGGCAAGTTACCTTCATCTCCTTGATGACCTCCCATATAGGCCTCAGCTCCTCCAGCGACTGCTTGGAGGTGCACGAGTACACGAGTATGAAGGCGTGGCCCTTGGAAATGGATAGCCGCTGCATTGCGGGGAACTGATGGGAGCCGGTCGTGTCAGTGATTTGCAACGTGCAGATGTTCTTGTTGCAGCTTATCACCTGTCGAGTTAGAAACGTTTGCGTTTAAACAGGTGGGATATAGGGTGGGTGTTTTCATACGCTCCCCTTCTGCTAATACTGTACTGCATGCAGGCGGGAGGCTGGCCTACCAACTCTCACTATGGCGCCTTACCGCCCCGTACGACTATGCAACCCGTTTCCATGCCTGCATCCTGTACAGTATAATCAGAAAAGGGCGGGCATAGAAAACCCAACATTCTGTTTTTTAATGCAGTAATATTCGGGGTCACGTCAGTGTGACGTCACATTGGCTCAAAAGTTTCGCTAACATTAACATGTTAAAACTGTGACATTGCTTAAATCGTGTCACATTAGTTTCAGCGTGACTCAGCCAGGCCAAGAGTATGATAAATTCTAAATTAAATTGAAAGATAATGTGACAGTAGCATCCAAAAGAATGTGACAGTTTTCAAACGTACAGGAATGTGAGGTCACATAAATTGACTAACAGTGATACTATTGCAAATGCACAGCAGCCATGCAGATACGCACCTGTCGGTAAGTGTCCTCGATGGTGGGGATGTAGGACTCTCTGAAGGTTCCCTTGACGAAGCGCAGGACGAGCGAGGACTTGCCCACCCCGCCCGCCCCAAACACCACGACCCGGTAGTCATTGCTCTGCTCGGGCATGGCTGCGGCTCACTGCACCTGCAACAACGCGTCAATGAGCAACACTGCAGGCGGCGCGGCGCCGCGCGGGGGAGCCCCAGGCCCCGGGCCCCGGGCCCCGGGCGAGACGGGTGGTACACGTTACACCCCTTCCTCCTTTTATCTCCCGCACATCCGTCTGCCTTTCTTCCTCTCCTCTCGCGTGCCCCCCCCCCTCTTTTTCTCTCCTTCCCCCACGAACACCCGGGAACACCCACCCTCCTATCTGCCATCCCCTCCTCCTTTCACCTTGCAGCTCCCAACCTTCATCCCCCCCCTCCCCCCTTTTCACCGTGCGGCCCCACGCGCGCGGCGTAGCGCCAGTGACTGCCTCACTGGGATAGGGATCGATAGGGCTGTGCCTGGGCTGTGCCTGGCCTGGGCTGGGCCTGGGCTGTACCAGGGCTGTGCAAGGGCTATGCCAGGGCTGCTGCTGGGCTGTGCCTGGGCTGTGCTTAGGCTGCCCCTGGGCTGGGCCAGAGCCAGGACTGTGCCGGGGCTTCGGCTGCTCAGCCCTGGACTGTGCCAGGGCTACACTCCAACTGTTTAGGGACAAATTGTGTACGCGCGGGATGTGGCTAGGCTGTATGCCCAGGCTTCAGAACCATGGTTCCGTGGGCTACGCTCGGAGCAAGGAGCAGTAAAGAGAAAGAAAGATAAAAAGAAGAGGAAAGAGAGTAGGATGGCCTGGCGGGACAAAGGATAGCACAGGCTGTGGTGCACAGGCAGCAGCTGCTATCCCGGCAACAACAATAGCAACATCAGCTAACAAAAACAAGCGCGGTGGAGGGGGGCAGCTGTTATAGGACTTGAGTGGGTGGGCAAGAGCTGACCGGGTCGAGATCACTGTCTGCACAAGAGTCTGAGTAGAAAGGGAAGAAAAAGCCGGGCGGAATGCCGAGGCACGGCGCGTTGGATGGGATGGACTGGAAAGCTATCGCAGCAGTCCAGGTCCAGGGAGAGGATCGTCTCGTCCCGCGGGGATGGGCGAGGCCGGGGGCAAGGCCTGGCCACTGGCGTACACTGCTGCACGTGCCGGGGCCGAGGTCGGGCGGCAGGCTGCATCTGCTTGATAATGGCAGTGGGCTCGCGTCATCACTAGAGCCGGGCCGAGCCGGGGATACGCCAGAGCCCTTCTTGCGTCAGGCACCGACGCTTCCTGTGGCGTGGACGTCACACGTCGCCCACAAACACACGTGGACAACGGTGTCAACAGCACCGAATGAAACACTGAAATATTGGAATTGAATCCCATTCTGTCCGTTTGGGGGGAACCTCCTATGTTTTAGCCCACCACTTTCACCCCGTTTTGTAAGCAGACTGCCAAGGTACGCGGCTTTGATTTTCCCGGATTTTCCTGCAGTCGTTTTGACCCTGGTTTTGCTTACCGTAGCCGACCCAGTTTCCTTGCCGCGACGCGTTTTCGCTCAGCTGCAGAGTACCCACCCGGGGAGCGCAAGGGTCGGACTGACCCCCCCACACCCGCCCCACGCATCGTGAGAGCGCTCTCGATTTTCTTTTTCTCGTCGAAAGCGAACGGTCTATTGCACAATTCTCTCGCAGTGATGATGCGGAAAAGGGCGCTATAGCTCGTGAGGCTCTCCCCCTCCTCTTCACCCTCCCCCTCCCGGGCACGCCTCCACACTCCACGCCCCGCAGGCCCGATAATGGTCCGGGGCTGCTGCCTCGAAAATAAGATAGGAATGCCTTTTCTTCCCCGGGGACGACTGGCTGCAGGTCAGAGAGGGCCTCTGTTGTTGGAGGAGGAGCGTTCTTTTATTGCGTCATGCCGAGGAAAGGGGCGAGCCCCACAGTTTGACCCTTCAGTTCAGAAACGTATACTGCGTTTCGCTGACTGCCCTGCGTAGCCCGCGGTGTCCACATCGAATAGCCGGATGTGGCCGCCTACTGAGCTGTAGGTGCATGGCACCGGGGCTCCAGCGAGGGCGCCTGCGGTGGGGCGGGTAGGCCACCCGCCGCGTGGAGCTGACCGACGGGCTCAGCGTTTGCCTACGCTGCGGGCGCTTCCATCAGCGCCAGTGCGGAGTGCGGCAGTAGTGGCCCAAAATAACATCCGTAAGGTATGGACGAAAGGTCCATACCTTACAGTGGAAGGCATGTCTGTTATGTGGACCAAATTGTCTGTAATACGGATAATTTTATGATTTTTTACGATCCGTGATACGTTTGCACAAAATTCTCCGTAATATACGGATAGCACATCGATAAGGAAATGAGAGTGAAGGAAAGAGGCACTTCGCAGCACAAAATAAGAACGGCAAAATGACGGTTAGACCCAATAATTTTAATCCGTCGGTTTCCATATTTTGGACGCCGCTGAGTAAGGACCGACCGTACGTACCTCCGTTTGCGTGGTACGGGGTACGGAGTCGGAAAACGGTTGTTCCGTGCCGCGTTTTGTGCGTACGGTGAAGTCGTTTAACGGCTCCGTGGTAAAAAGTCAGTGGGTACGGTCTATCCGTACCGTAATCCTAATCCCCGTAGCATGTTTCAGTTTGTCAGATACGCTGCACCGTGTCCGTCTCTCATTTTTAACAGTGTTCTTGGTAAAACCAATAAAATGGCAATAAATCCACGTCGTTGGGGATTTTTAAGAAATCTACACTGGCTATGAGCCGCTCATTCACAACCCCGTGGCAATGTTCTTTGCCTAAAAATGGCAATAAGATGTAAAGTAATCTCAAAATTTATTGGCATTTTGTTCATTGCCAAATAATGGCATTTTAGCCTTGAAACTCTATTGCGACACATTTGCGATCCATGTCACTCCATGCCAATGAACAATTGCCAGAAATCAAGCAAGCCAACGACCCTTCCGCCAAATGAAGTTGCTAGCTGCACCTCGCTCCGCAGACAACAGACAACTCTGTTCAGCAGTTGCCGGACCTCTCAGGTAGAACACGGTTGTCAAAATGATGCCACGAAGACCTCATTTTGACGCTCATCGTCAAGATTTACTGCGGCTACGTAGCCAGATTGAGCTTATGGCTGGAGGGGAAGTGGACAGCCCCACACACGAGCCCACCGCACTTCCCCTCCAGCCTTCGTCGTACACACAGGCGAGGAGAAGGGGCCGGGGGGCTAGGGGGCCAGTCTTTACGCCCAAAAAAGGTTGGGGCGGGGCAGGGAGGGGGAGCCGGCCTGAGGTTGGCGGTGCAGGGCAAAGTCGGAATAAATCGAAGAAATGTCGCGCTGTTAAATGTTTCTTAAATATCGAACCTAGCAACAAACTACTCAGATTTCTGGATCAATCATCAGCCTCTCACCCCCTTTAAAAGAAAAAAAAGACAGGTGGTTATGACAATTTTGACATTCAAGAAGGAGGGTGTGTTTTGAAAGTTGAGGGACAGTAAGTTCGTCCCGCTGACACTTGCACTGTTAAATTTCTACAAAGCATTCGCTTTGCAAAACTGCGAAGTATTTCGCTCCTTTGTAACTACGAAGCATTTACTTTGCAATTACAAAGTGATGCTTTGCAATTGCGAAGCAATGAAAACGCTTCAAAGCATCGCTTTGCAATTGCAAAGTGTCACTTCGTAATTGCAAAGCATCACTTTGTAATTGCAAAGTAAATGCTTCGTAGTTACAAAGGAGCAAAATACTTCGTAGGAATTTAACAGTGTGCACTTCCACGGCCAGTACTCGTACTCGTGCCGCCTACATCAGTCCTAAATTAAAGGTTTATTCATAGCCTACATCCTACACCGAGCTAGGAAATTTCTGCACTGTAAAAAGCTTGCGAAGAACCATTCTTTCTTTGCATTGCAAAGAATTTTCAAGCGTTGTAAAATGCTTTGCATTTGCGAACTAATTATTCGCACCTTACGAAGAAAATCGTTCGTAACGCTGCAAAGAATTAGTTCGTAACCTTGCAAACCATTTCTTCGCAACTTTACGAAGAGAATAGTTTCAAATGCAAAGAAAATAGTTTGCAATGCAAACTTTCTTACAATGCTTGAAAATTCTTTACAAGAATTTTGCAGTGTGTATCATTTCACAAACCAGATCCTTACACGACGAATTCTTATTTAAGGCCCGGTATGCGCACGCGAAGCCTTTTTAGCCCACTTTGAGCAGGAATGTGGGCTTTTCGGAGTTTTCGTGCTTATTTTTGCAAGAGGAACTCCCTATACTGTATAAACAGCAAAAGAAAAGATCGTTCGCATAAGCCCGCTTTTTCGCTTTTTCAAAGCTGAAGGGCGAGTTAAAAGTGTATGAAATGCGATGCAATTCCTACACTGTTAATTTGAGGTGTACAGGAGCTGCTGGACACCTATGATCTGACACCCTGTCCCTCACGGGGTTGCCACGCTGAAAGCAGAGTACCATCCACCCCTCTGTTGATCGAAAGCGTCCTGGTCTCGGCCCTGGTGCAGGGCAACCTGTAGGGTGTCCTGTTCTTGGAAATCTCATATGACCTCATAATGTGTTCGATTTCTCGAAGGCTTTATTTCTTGCGGTCAATATACTGTTAAAAATTTGTGGGCCAGGCCAAAAGGGAGGCACGAAGACAAAGCCCGTTCAGCGCCACGCCATGATACGATCTCAGGTCACCGACAGGCTTAAACTACGAGGCTTGCTCACTCTAAAGGGCTCCGTTTGTTTCGGATTTTGCGACAAGGTTCGGCACATCGCCATCCACTGCAAATCGTCGTTTTTTATTTCCTGAAAAGTACTTATCCCCTTCTTCCACATCACAGCCCCACTTTTGCCATCTCCCATTTCCATTCCCCACCCCGGGACGGGCCGAGTCGGGCGCACTGCGCGCCTGCGAGCGGCAGCATAGGCCGCCCGCCCACACCCGTGTCGGCGGACCTCCCTGTATTGTCTACGCTGCAGGCGCTCCACGCCGCCGCCCGACACATCCACGCAGCCGGGCGCACCAAGGGGAGGGGGAAACGGGGTGAGGATTTTTGGTCGCACACTTTGCGGGGATACCGCCCACCCGGCCCACCCTTCCACCCCTTCCACCCCCGCCT